TGCGTTTATTCAATTCCAGATGCTTTGAAATATATATATAAAAAAGTGATAAAGTTCTGTTGGCACAAAAGTCTTCAGAAACCGGAAGCTTGTCATTTTGATTCGCAAAGTAAGCATATTTTCCGTCTTACAAAGATCAATGAGTTCATATGCATAGTCCATTAGAGAAGCGGCTATCACAGACCACTTTAACACTCCCTATTGTGTTGTATGTTGAAATGATACCAGGAAGTGCTAGCTGCTACTTCAGAGCATAGAAATGAACGACAAATGGAGTGTATACTGAAGGCGTCTTGTGTGTGGTGGATACAAGACTATTGGAGCAGGCTAATAATACAGTCCAAGGCCTTTGTTAATGTGGTTCTATAGATGTATGCATGAGTGATGAATAAGATCCTGGCACATTACAAGCCAGTTCCTCTTAATGCACTCCCAAAAGACTTTCAGATATAAACAGATAAAGTGAACGGCGCAGGGAGAAAGAGAGAAGAGAGTTAGCGAATTGTTATTGGAGCCATGTAAGTCATTTAAGCTCTAAAGAGTTCCAGATGTGCAAGGGCAAACCTCGAAAGAAAGAGAAGAGAAAAAAATGGTCTTGCCTGAAAAAAAAAAATTTGAAGGAAGGAAGGAGAATTAATAAGGAAATGGTGGTGGTATGAGACTAGTGTCCTATTCTGAGAGCAGCGTGAGAGTGGTCCGCTGCTGGTGACTGCATTTGAGGCCAGTGGGGTTTTGGGTGTGGGGTGTCAGGTGCTGAGGTGGGAGTGGGCTCTGTGGCATCTGCAAGAGCGGGACCTGGGCCTATAAAAAGCAGGAGTGGTCAGAATAATGTGCTGTTGTCGTTATGACTGAACTCACTCAAAAAAGTCGTCCAAAAGATTCATGGGGGAAACGGCTGGAGATGGTTTATAGCTTGGTCTGGAGATGTGCTGGATATGAATACTTAAAAATAACGCTTGTGTCTCGTGATTTTAATGGGTTTCGTGGCTGCAATGTTACACAGTATATGGCTGTACGTGTATATACGGGCATGGGGTATAACTTGAACTAGGCCTTGGTTACTTTCATGGTGTGGACTTTCTGTTAATTCATCTGGTTTTATTTTGATATAGTATATTTGTGTACTTGTTGTGAGTTCTACTTCCTGTCTGTCCTGTTGATTTTTTGTCCCGCCCTGATGTGTTACATCTGTGTCTCCCTGTGGGTGTTTAGACGGTCGGCACTAGATCATATACGGAATCGGGACGAAACCGGAAGTAACAATCCTACTTTCGATTTGGTTTTAGACAAATAAGTGGTGACTGGTTAAGTTTTAGGTGTTTGAGTAAGATGGTTAAGGTTAGGGTTAAGGCTGGGTTGGGGTTATTTTATGGGAATGACTGGTTAAGTTTAGGCATGAATAGGTAGTTTGTTATGTTCTAGTGCTGACCGTATTTAGTCTCCTGTCCTCTTGTTGTCTGTCCAGTGTTTTTATTTCCCCCCCCCATGTCTTGTGTCTTTTGTGGCATTTATTATAATATGCTATTTTTGCAGTTCTGCTTTTGGGTCCTTAATATAACTTATTCACGACCAACAAAGACATCTGCAAGATAATTTCTCAACACATTTATGCAGCTGAAATATGGAACAGTCTTTCTGAAAATGTGAGACAGGCTTCTCCTCTGACAGAAGTTAAAATCCAGGTTCAAACAGTTATTTTTTGCTTGGAAGGATTGTAGCTTCACCCTTTTTAATGCACTGTGATAATTTGTTATTATAATGCCTCCTTTCTTGTTTTGTGAAGCACTTTGGAGTTGCCTTGTGTATGAACTGTGCTATACAAATAAACCTGCCTTGCCACATCATATTTGAGAGTGGTTGTGGCTGGGTTGCTGGCTGCTTCTATTCCCACCACTAGTGTTTTGTTGGGCTTTTTTCCAAGGGCGCATTGGTCGCCTGGCAAACATTCATGATAACAAGTAATGGACCATCTCAGCTGTTATTGTGCACTTTCAACTAGCCTTGTATCAGGTTACAGCGGGAAGAAAGGAGGTAGAGTTGACAAAAGGTGAATAAAATCATTGTAATGTATTAGCAAAGATGAATTATTATGTGCTACTGGCTTCCTTCAAGACATCACTAAATACTGTATATTGGTGTGATTACGTGAAAAAAGGCTAGATTTCTGTTCAGACGCCTTCCATCTGGGCTCAACCTGGCAACCCTAAAGTTTTATAAATCTTGTATTCATGCATTTATCTATTTATTGGCCTTTATTAAACCAGGAAAGATTTCAGAATGTCTTTTTCAGTAGAGTTTTTGCCCCAGAGAGAGGAGGCGGAAGTGTTACTGCCGACAATTGTACACATGTGGTAAGGGAAAACATGGGGAGAACATGCAAACTCCACTCAGACAGGCCTGGGTTAGGGTTAGGTCTGGAGGTGCAATGGAACCCAGGACCTTGTAGAAAAGACACGGGTGAAAAAAGCCTTGAATGGGTTTGTTGAAATATAAAATCAACATCTATTTTATGAGATGGTTTTTGGTCATACAGTGTTTTTTAACCACAATTTCTCTTATCGTCAAGACAACAAACATTCACCGTTCATGAATCACAGAGCTTCCAAATAACTTTGACAGTATATGCAAAGACATGCCGGATAATCGACCTGAGCTTTTCACAGAAGAATCCTCACTTATGCAAATTCTAGAAACCACTTTTGTTTCTGGCATGACTTCAGCCGTCTCCACCCTGTTCTTGGACACAAACGCACTTCTTCTTCAATCCCACGTGTTCTGGGGAAATTAAGGCTGAAGTTTCCAAAGTGATTATAGCATTAGAAACCCAAATGTATATTTTGAATGGGAAAAAGTCTTCAAAATGTTGCATGAAAATGAAGGTGTGTTGCTACCTCCCATTACATGCAGACTATTCCATATTTCTACCTGTAATGCTTTTAGGGGCCATTAAAGCTGATCTACGCAACTCATTCTATATAAATAACACATTAATGAGTGAATAGTGGCCCTCTGAGTCTCTTTTGGACACTTTTAGCTGAATGAGTGGTCCTCTCTTTTTCACTTTTCTGTCTAAAGCTAAAAAAATACATACAACATGTCACAACTAGCCTGGTCTTACCATACCATCGCACAAATTTCCTTTCGTACATGTAGGGAAATGATAATTGACTGGAGTTTACGGATGGCTAAGGCTAGGCTAATGCGACAACTAGAAACAATCTGTTTTAGACCCAGATTTTTGTTAAAACTTGTTTGGTTTGAAAGTTAGGCACTCCAGCCTTAACTTTGCGGCACATATTTTTCATGTGCAATTAGATCGGCCCATCATTCCTTTACCATTGCCACTTGGTATCACTGACACTGTCTTTGTCGTCTACAGAAGTGTGTCTTTGGCTTCTCGGTGCCAGGCCTCTCACCGCTGTGGTTTCGCTGCCCCTGCACTGGCCCTAAAGCTGCATGATCACACAACAAAGAGCCATTGTTAAGCCCTCACAGCGCTGCTCCCGGGACCTGGGAGTGGGCCACGAGCCGGGGCTGCAGCCTGCACTGTCCCTGTGCTCTGCCAAATAAAAATCTGCAATGGAAACACAAGCTATACGAGAGAGCACGTGGTTTTGACAAAGAGCAGGGCAGGAGGACAAATGAGCCGAGAGTATATAGCAGTGAAATAACAATATACAGTGTAGTACTCGCTCGCATTCCAACAGTTTTACACGTATGGGGCTATAGTAGGCATTGTTTATTGCACCAGCCATTAAACTTGGCTGAATCTGTTAGAAAGTCCGGATTTAAATGTCGAAAAATAATAAATTATACAAAAGAGGAGATGTAGAGACCATTAATTTCTCTGTGTCAGCCAATAAAAAACATTACCAACCATGCTTCTACTATAAACAGTTGCATTCAGACAAAGTTTGGTATTACAGTTAACTTATTTTTTGCTTTTTAAAATTAATACATTATCCAAGTACATTTAAAGCTCGGGTACCTAACTTTAACTACAAACATATTGAACAATTATTAAACTTGAATATGATTTCCAAATGGGTTAATCAATGCTTTTCAGTTTTCTAGTTTTACACAAAAAATATATGACACTGGCTTGACATAGGTTTTTCCTTGGATTCTCCACAATCACAGTCATTATAAAGCTGCATGTAAAGTCAGTGCTGTACTTTTATGACATGTATCTGATATTATTATACTGAATGAACACTTTCAGACTAAGTTATGGCTGTCTCAAGTTTCAGTATACATGGATTTGATTAATTGCAGCCAACACATGAGCAGGGGCTGGTTTGCTCACAGCTGAGGTTGGGGATGTGGTCAGTGGAAAGAAGGAGGAAATGGATAAGGAGAGGTTTTTTTGAGGAGTGGACAGACTGATCCAAACATGTGGCACTGCTAAAAGTCAATCAGAGCAATGAGGATATGTTGATCAAACTTTTACCTCTGGAGAACCCTGTAGAAAATGCAGTCTTTGTTTCAGTCAGAACTCCATGTAATGTTTTCTCAACAGTGACAAGCCGAATCAGCAACGTATCCATCATACAGCAGAAGCAGAAAGCAGCTATTGTACCAGCAGGCGGGCTACATTTCACCTTTTTCCGAAATAGTGTGGAAAGTAGTGACCAGGAGCAGTCACTGACAAACGCTCATTGACATCTGCACATGTGAAGAGAGTCCATGCAGTTTCTCAAACCATAAGTGACAATAGTGACAACAGTGACATACCACCTTCAGCTCCCTGATCTGGAGGTGTTGGTCCAATGTTGTGCACTTGTGTCTTTGCAATTGTGTCCAGTAAAAATCTAATGATACAACTCTAAGTGATAAAGGATAAATGTGTTAAAGTGGCGTCAACTGAGTGAATCTAACTCACAGTTTCTAAGTTTCCATTCACTGTAGCAGTTTCCAGTGACATGTAAGACGTGATGATGTCAATGACTTTGTGACACTTGTAAACAACGTGAGTGCAGATAAAGTTGAAACATATTTACCACTGGCGTTCTTGCCGCAGATCAGGTGTTCATGCTGCTGCAGGACCCCCCACAGCTCCGCGTCATTGTTCACGACCCCCTCCACGGTCTCCGCGCTCACGGGGCTCGCAGCGGACGCTTCGGGACCTGTGTGACACCTCTCTGCCATCAGGACGCGGGCCGCCGCCTCCTCCACCAGAGCCTCGATGCACGCCGTCATGCAGATAGCCGCGTGCTCGTGGATGCGCACGGAGATGCGCGTGTCCACCATCCAGCGGAAGAAGCGTCCCACGGAGAGGCTGAGGCCGCAGCGCGCAGACTTGCCCTTCCTCAGCAGCTCCCCTGCGCTCATGCAGTACATGGAGATGGCCTTCACGGTGGCGGACACGCAGTGGTCAGCCAGGGCCCAGCTCAGGATGAGGCGCATGGCGCTCTGCACCTCGAAGCGCGTACAGCGGCAGTGCATGACGCTGAGCCGCTGCGCTTCTCTGGAGATGCGGACCAGAGCTCTGCGGAGGAGAGTGGACACTTTCCTCACTGCCTCCAAGGAGAACACGGCACACACTCCGCCCTTGGAGAAACTACCAGAAACTTTGCGCAGGATAGTTGCCACTTCCTCCTCGGTCCAGGGAAACTCCTCAAGCTCTGGCAGCCGCGGACACTTGGAGAAGATGTCCTCTGGGTCCTCAGGTAAGACCGTGTTCACAGTGTCCCAGCTGTTGTTTCTGCTGTTCATGGAGCCAGAGTAGTACCACCAGTTCCCCCGGTGCGCGGCTGTCATGAGGGCTTGAGAGTGTGAGTTGGACTTGGAGGAGGACAGGCTGAGGGACTTACATGAGTCTCCTGCGCCGTATCCCGAGTCCAGCGTCAGGTCCTCCAGGGTCTTCATATTGCTCACTCCTGCCATGTTGTTCACTCACACGGCGTTACCTGCGTCTCTCCCGTCGAGCTGGAACAACTGGTTACACTCTGTAACTCCTGTCACTCATCCTGCAAACAGTTCAAAGCAAGTCCACCTGAAATCCTGTGCGTGATCCTTAATCAAAAAGAACCGTCCAAATGTTTACTTTCTCCCCAAAAAGTCACTGAAAACTTTCTCTGAAGTTCCAGCCGCAGAAGTAAAACGCGCGAAAAACTATTTTCCTCTAAAACAAACTTGTGTTCGTTGATAAATCCCGCAGAGCCGCAGCAGAAGTGTGATGGTCGGAGGTGAAGTCACTTTACTTCATGTGTCTGAACGCACTCACGGGTGAGGACTGCGGGGGCGGGACAACAGCACTGAGCTCGCCACCCACCAATCACAACACGAGCGACTGTTCGTCTCAACCAATCAGAGTGCGTCCCCAAACTCCCAACGACTTCTGCTATTTTGTGTGTAACTTCTCCAACATGTGCGATCCTCATGATGTGACCAGCGCCTTGTGTCGAAACATGTGTCAAATCAGTGATGTCCACATGACTCTTCACCTGTTATATCAGTGTCACAATGAAACACACGGACTTTAGCATAGGTCTAATAGTCTCAACATAACTGTGATTATAAGCAAAACAAAAAACAGGTTATAGAAAGAATGGAATTTAGAGCATTTGGTATTTCTCACTATTGTAATCACAGCCTAATTAAATCTGCACAACACAAGTCTGCGTGGCTTCAGAGGCGGGGTCGTGTTGACTTTACCAGGGGAAAGCTTTATTATAGGTGTAGTGGAAAGCCTGGAGGGGATTCTGTCACATGCACACATGGTTTTCTCCTGAAACCATAGTGGACCCTCTGGGAGAAATATGAGTGGAGACCCAGCACTGTAATTACCACCTGTAGTCCTGGCTTTTGTTTCCAAAACAAGACGCGTGTAATCCGAGAAAAGTATTTTAGGATTTGTGTTGATTGTGGCAATTAAAATCACACATGAGCAGGTCTATGGGGTACTCATTATCACTTAGTAAGTCTGTTTTTACGATGGCAATAGAAGACGTTGCTCTTACCTAGAGCCTACATATAGGCTGTTCTCATTAACGTATCCTAAATCTCAACCCGTTTTAAAGCTGGGGTACCTCACTTCTAAACCAAAACAAAGGAGAAGTGTTTACAGTCATGCATTTTTGGCCTCAGTCACCTCTTCAGATCAGCTTTAAAACCGAGAAACTTTATACGTCCCTCGATGGGGAAATTTCAGTGTGTTGCATCACAAATTAAAGGGCAGTTGGCAGGAGGCGCACACAACACAAGACAAGTATATTAAAATTCTATACTAAAGAATATATAGGAAAATCTCCACTTTTTGAACAAAACTTTCTGGTCTTATTTGTCGAGCACGTATCACCAGAATGATTGACAATTGGGGACCAATAGTCTTGATTATCCACCCGGAAGTAAATGATCCTCCTTTAAACAAATAAAATAAAATAAAATACATTCTCTATATCACTTTACCAGATACAAAAGTGTAAAGGAGTTCGAAAAGAAAGGACCCACTTCATTCAGCCAATCAGCTTTCAGCCCAAAGCATCAAATGGTGACTCACTGGGCTCTTTCTAAACACATGCAGAACTAAATATATTTATTAGATGAAGTCAACTGTTTCCTCATGAACAACAAGTTAGTTTAGCTATAAAAGATTAGCTTTAAGTTAATCAAGAATGTATAGTAGTAATTTTAAGAAATGTATGTAGATTTTTTAAGTATGTATGCCTTATTCTTTTCTATTTTAACTCTAACTTGTTTGCATGAGAACCAAAGCAACTTCCTAGTTTGTGACTCATATGGCAATTAAATAATTATGATTTTATTGTTGGTCAAAAGGAAGGAAGCTCAGACGTGAACTTCCCACAATGCAATACATGTCACATATAAAGAACTTGCGTCTGTGACATACAATTGCGAAATCAGATATTTTCCCACATTATAGAGAAACATCATTAATGATCAGTCTTTTCTGTCATTGTGCAATCACCGTGTGCTTTTGTTTACATATGACCCTACATGGAAACAGTGAGTGGCAGCAGATACACTCACACTGAATCACTGTCTGCCAGAACCAGAAGTGCAGAATGAACTGGGAGAGACCGGCTCGGCTCAGTGGACCTCCTGCTTTGCTCCAATGACATCAGATGACAGCATACAGTACGTACACAGAGATCACAGAGGGGTAACACTTGCTTCAGAGACCTCTGCAAACCCACATTCAGCCACATGAAGGCAGAGACACTACTTACCTCATGATCCTGCTGCGTTTATGTTCAGCCGGAAAGTTTGCGCTCACATTCTCAGCAGACTTGGACAAATCCTGGTTCTGAAGATACAACACTTAAAGCTGGGGTACCGTGTTTTGTGCATTAATAACATACATAATAATTACATGGCGTCTGTCACAACAAAAATATAAATGTAAAAGTAAAAGGTTGAGGAAAAATCAGCCAACATTATGCTGTTTTCATCTTATAAGAACTTTTTAACGCTTTGTGCTGAGAGCTGAGTGAGGGTGGTCCTCTCTTTGTCACTGTTCTGCCTGAAAAAGCTGATCTAAAGAGGTCAAAATACATTCAGATGAAAGCTAGTGAACTGTTCTGGGAGCTATGAACTAATTTGATGGATTTCATAACATAGCTCTGTATGTTTGTGGTTTAAAGTTAGGTACCCTAGCTTTTAAATATACTTCGATAATGTATTTATTATTTTAAAAAAAAGCAGGAAATGAGTTTGACCATCACAAATCGGTCTATATGAACAGCACCCTCTAGTGGACATTGCAGGTGACGCTGTGAGCGTCAACAATAATAATGAACACTGGACATATAGTTCTGTAGGGATAATACATTTTTATTTGCAAAAACAGATGAAAATAAAGGAACAATACATTCTTAAACCCACTCTCTACAAAACAATTTCACAGAAATTACTTTGGAATGTTGTCCCGTTTGTTTTTGTAGGTTTTTAAATGTATTTTCTTGCAATTAGCACGAGATGTTGAGTAATTTATAAATATCAATGCAAAAAGGTTGAACAAAGCAAATCTATAACAGCTTATGGCAACAGTAACATGTAAGGCGTCTGAGCAATCCTATATCCCAGTGTTTCCCAACCTTTTATCTCTTATGTTTAGTTGCGTATTCATGAGAAAAATATCATATATAATCAAAAATTACATATTAGCAATTATCCTGGTGGAGAATCCGCTTTTCCATTGCATTCCTTCTCAATGCCTGCATAGTCTGGCATTGCGTTTTCCATCTTGGAAGTCATAGATCATATTTGCAGAGAGGTGAAACGACATAATGGAGGAATTTGTAATTAATTTAGTAAGTAGGTAAGTAATCTTTATATATATATATAGCACATTTTCACAGACCAAGGTCACCCGAAGCGCTTTACAATGTTCAGAGTTTAGATATTTCTCATTCAATATTCAATTTATAGATTTTATACCACTGTGAGGTAAACACAAACAGTATATTCTCAATAACAAAATGGTACCGGACCCAATCAGTTGAAGATTTGAAATACACTACAAATAATTCTTTTCAATTCTACCTTTTTGAAATCTGAAAGTATCAGCCCAGGTTGGGAAACACTGCTTTACTCAGTAGTCACTTGCCCCGCCCTCTGCTACTGTTAAATAAAACCAGTATATGACATAAGAACCTTAAGTGAAGCAATGGGATCAGCTGCCATCTCCATCAGGCCGTTACAGTAGTTACTAATCTCACCTCCTTCACTTCTTTGTATAGACAATCAGGAGTCCAGTTATTGACACTGTGGCTGCGTTCACACTCGGCCCAATCGAAGTGGACTCTGGTGCACTTTGGGCTCTGTGCGTTTGTGTTTTTGGAGAAATGTAAAACACACCAGACAAGAGCGCTCAGGCCCACACACAAGTCACAACAGCTACACAGATCAGTAGTCCTGTCCCGATAATGAATCTATCCACTCATCGCTCAATAACTGATGGATAAAACTATATATTTTGGGCCTAAATATTTATCATACAGACATTTTCTTTGCAAAAGAGGATATTTGTTCTATATTCAATGTAAACGATGAGGCCCCCAAAGGATTCAAAAATTCAACCCTTGATCCTGAATGATTCACTTTTGAGTCAATACCCGTCTATTTTAACCATAAATATTTTCATTAATGCAGGGATACTGGTTTTATGGTATATATGAGTGTGTGTATATAGACCACAATTGTATTACAACTGCTAAAAGGAGAAGCTCTGTCTTTTCTGTTTGATAAAAGTAGCTTTCCAATTGAAAAATGTGAGAGAACCCTGCTATAGACGGTTCAATATGACTAAATATTATGTCATTCTGATTTTTAATGAAAAGGACAAATAAATACATTACTTTACTGCGATCTCCTGCTATATTGAACTCATCATTTCCCGAGTCAATATGTCGTCCATCTAAGTTTTGTTGTCAGGACAGGTCTACAGATCCGTGATGTCGTGAGGATTTGTGGGTTTGTGCTTCGTGAACCGGACCATAAAATGTGAACGTGCCCCGTATCTGTACAAGGTTTGTTTGTTTTCATCATTATAATTATAGTTATACAACAGTGATACAAGGCACTCTTGGAGGATAGAGCCTCTCGTCCGACACAGTACCATGATTCAAGAACCCTTTTAACGACACTGAGGCTGAGATCCAGAACTGATTTACAGCTTCTCATTTGGATTCTGTCTGCTTTCTGATGAGAATTCAATAATCCAATCAGAATCCAAACAAAAACCCAGGAGCCGGTTTCGGATCTCCGCCTTTCTCTTTGATGATGACTGTCACTGCGTTTACATGGGAAGAGAGAGGATCAGATAACAAGCCCAGTCCAATTGATATCGATTTGGTAAAATGAATGTAAATCTAGGTACGGCAATAGAGTTAGAGAATAGAGTGTTGTTGTGTGCAATCCAACATCTGCCTCTCTATAGGGCTGCACCATTAGAGCAAAACTAAAGTCATATCTAATTGTGATTTTCTCTGACAAATATTGAAATTTTCAATGTATATAAAAAAAGTTTTGGTTTGTCAAGAGTGCATAATATCATGAGTAAAATCTGAAAAACCTCTGCACCTAGTAAAAGGCTGAATAAACTTGATAATTTGGCAAAACATTAATTAAATCCCATTATTCTAAAATGAAGATATATTCCCCTGATTCAAACATATTTTAGTCATTTATTTTGGCTGTTTTTTAATAAGGATTTAAATAATTGTAGTTTATGCCATTTAAATTTGATTGTGATTGATCTTCTGGCCTTAAAAGAGAGTCTGAGCCATTTGTGGGAAACGCTGTGTTTGCTAAATTGTAAAGTTCTTAATGTGGCCCTGGTTTTTGAATACACTCAAAAAAACGTTCTCACTTAGTTACGCCCATGTTCTCTGGCCATACAAACACAGTGTAAGATTGAACAATATTTCTCAGTTTCTTCATTTTAACAAAGATTCATTTTTGATTTTTCACTCATTCTCTTTTTTATTGTACGATTCGGGCAATGATAAAGTCGGCCATCTTAAAGTCATCACCGTCGAAGTTAAAGGTGTAAACTCTTCACAAATACAGTGAGAACTAAAGCACCCGATCATAAGTACATCAACTATGTACAAAGCCATGAGAGTAACAAAAATAGTTCAAAAAATAAAAAATAATTGACCCTGAAGTGAATTTCAAACAAGTCTCCTGGACCTAGTATGCACGTAAAGGTGAAACTCCAAATAGCAGCAAAGCCAAACAAACTCTGAAAACATAAATAGATAAATATAAACATGGTAACGAATGAATGGTGTGTTCAGCAGTTTTCTCGCTATTAGCTAAATTATCATTGACCTGGAGTGCGTTACAAACATCACTTTAATAATGATATTCAACAGGTAGCAGTTGATTAAGAAATTATTCGTATTAAAACGTTCCTACTTCACCTACGTCACCAGTTTTGACACATTCGATAAAGCACTCGTCGTGGATGAGGGTTGGTTTGTCTTCACGGCGCCTTGGACAAAAGGTGCTTCTGGACGTAAAATATCACACTTGCATTCACACACATAGAGACGTACAAACCGACAGACACACAACAGCTGATTTCCCAGTCTGTCTTTAGAGATTGCACCGAAAAAATAACAGAGAGAAGCCGCACAAAAAGTCCCCTCTGTCGACAGTAGTTCAGTCAGTGACGCAACGGTGTGAGTCAAAACGCGAAAACAAAAACGCTTTCAAAAAATCCCTCTTTTGAGTTCCTCTTGCGGAAGAGTGCACAGGTCAGCGGTGATGAACGCGCTTGTATCTGAGGGACGGAGTTTAAAGCAGGCAGCGGCTCACTCACAGTGCTCCTGCTGTCTTTGGGGCCCGTGTCCAGAGTGAGATGCTATCCTTTCGGGGTTTTCTTGTTCTGAGCGTTCCACATGCCCCGTTTGGAGTGGTAGTAGTGGAAAAAGTTTCTCAAACGGAGACGCTCCACTTCTAATCCATTTTGCAAAACTCTGGGGAAAATAAACAACAAAAAGTGAATTAAAACAAGCATTTAAAAGAGTTGTGTTTCTGTGATGTTACCTGTCCAACAGCTCCCAGTCCTCTCCTCCCCAGCGGTCTTTGAATTCTTCTGTGTTCATGCCACCAATTTTATCAAAATCAGACTTGTAGATTCCAAAAAGGCCAAACCCATTGACCTCCCAATAACCTGGAAAATCAAAAGTGTGAATGGGTCCACATTACTAATGTTGATGTTCTAATTCATTGAAATCAAACAGTTTCATTCGGAAGCTACTTTAACAAGATTCCATTATCTATATTAGCGTAGCAATTAATTAAAGTGATATACAGGAGCATTCAATGTGGTGCAGGAGGTTTCCTATTACACTCAAACCAATGTTCATTTATTTCTGCAGAAATAAATGCTTAAACATATCAAATCATGAATAAAACATCTATATTGAAATATTCATGAATTTGTGAATTCTTAGAGAATGTAAAGATGTGTATATCTGCAGATGGGAGACCACTGTAAACTGTGGTTGGGGTCGCACCATCAGGCTCCAGCGGGGAGCTGCCACAGCTCAGCCTCATGACGATGGGAGCGAAGGCAAGACGTCCCTCCACACAGTGCTTCCTGATGCTCTCCAGGATGTTCATGGGGAAGTGGATGTGCAGGTCACACAAGAACACTATACTGTGGCTGTCCTAGAAAAAAAAAAAAAAAGTAACATTAAACAACATTATTAGATATGGTTCATAGTTTCAGCCCATGTTATCTCTATTCACCTATATTACTTGTTTATTGAACTGTTTATGCTTATGGTATTGTTATACCATGGTATTGTTGGTATATAATCCCGCCACAAGGGGTCAGCAAAAACATTCATACCTCACCATGTGAAAACTCCACTGATGATGGCTGCTATAGAGTAAATGCATTAGTGAATAATGGCCAGCCGTGATGATTGCACCCGAGTTGTCTATTGAGCTTAAGTCTCTTCATCACAGTTGACACTTGAATGACACCTCTTTCATTTGCCTGTCAACAGTGACACTCATGTGACGGATCACTGTCCACTTTGCTGGTGTTTGTGTGACTGTATGAGCCATAGACGGAGGCAGGAGGCGCACATAACCTGCTGCTGGGTGAGGATGTGACAGCTATGAAAACCCATGACAGAGAATTGCAGCCAGGAGTCACAGTGATTGTGTCTGCCTGCGCTGGACTCGGAGGGCGGAGTGGAGATAGGGCCAAGGACCCGTCACGGAGCATCCAACACTGACACATTCATAATTCATGAGTGTTCTGCCCGTCAATCATCTCAAAGGGCATTGGTCAGTGTGGGTGGGTGACCTTCAATAAATGTTGTATATTACTCTACCTCTATGGTGTCGACTCCAATCTGAAGTCCAGCTGAGCGTTCAAAGTTTCCCTCTCTCCTGAGATACTCGTACCTGTCAACACAAATATGTTAAAATATTAGTCATAAATAATTCATTGGGTTTTATTTTTAACTTGACATGTTGTCTCCTGGTGCACAGACCTTGGCACAGTGCTCTCTCTCAGCGCCTGCTCCACGTCCATGTCTTCACTTTCAAAGTCAACGATGATGATACTGAAATTGTCATCCTTGGTCTGACGATGAAGATTCTCCATGTCGGAGATGAACTGTTGCACCCAGCGAGCCTGGTTTTTCACTGCACAGAAGAAACAGATGGTCCAATGATTCATTTGTTTTGATTGTGAACATAGGAGGTTGTGTCTGTCCTGACCTGGAACCACAAAGTGGACCATCACGTCTCGTCTCCACTGCAGCATGACGGGCTGGCAGAGCAGGGGCTTGGCGTAGGCAGTGCTCCAGGCGGTGGGTGCGGGCCGCGCGGGGGTCTTGTGGGAGGGGGGAGGTGTATGTGTGGTGTGGGAGGTGGGTGAAGCGGCCGGAGCCGAGGCCAGAACAGAGTCTGTGTTCTCTGGGCTCTCGTCGCCCTGGCGGCCGCGGTGCAGCAGCAGGTAAATGTATTCTGACAGACGCACCACACTGCGCCCGCGCTCCATCAGCTCCAGCTCCACCAAGTAACGGTTTCCCCGTGCAGAGTCGCGCCGCTTCTCCACGTTAATGATGCGCAGAAGCGTGTAGATGCTGTGGCAAAGAAGATGAATGTTCAATAATTCAATCATTCAATAATTTGAGCTGCAGCCGCTGAGCATGTGTAAAAATGAAATTCCCAAAATATTTGATTACATTTGCTGGTTGTGTGCTGATACTCAGCACACAACCATCTGAGCCAGATAAAATGTATAAGCAATTTGCAGATTAAAAACACATCGGATTACTTCTATGTAAACATAAATTGGTGTGTGTAAAGTATACATTGGTGTGATGTATAATATCAATGTTTTTAGAGTTATAGTTACAATATTTGAAAAATAAGTTGTAAAGAGTGGTCTGACACGGGTCGAAAATGTACAGTTCTGTTAAAATTGCATTGTATGCTTTGTAAACGTACTTAGTCTAACGTCAAATTTGTCTAGGAATGATCCAAGTTTCAAAAGCATTTATATACTTGACTTCTTTAGAAACATTTTCAACCCACATTCTCAGTATGATGATTGCCAAAGTATTCGTGAGAGACGGCTGCATTTCCTCACCCTCCGTTGCGTTCGTTGAGCTTCTCCATGTACTGCGCCAGCACGTCCACCACTTCGCTCTCCGCCAGCTGCAGGTTCCCCGACACGTTACAGCGCAGGTCGTTCCAGTCGGACCTCAGCAGTTCAAAGTCCATGGGGTTCACGGAGAAAGTGCGCTGCCAGTTGATGCTCTCCTCCGCCCAGCCCGGCCGCGGCTCCACCTCCTCATAGCTGTAGTCCGACAGCTCTCCCTCCTCAGGCTCCGGCTCTGCGTCCAGGTCTGGGTTGGACCTGTTTATTTCCGTTTCAAATTCTGGCGGATTCTGGTCGTGGTCCTTTGGCTGCAACTCTGTAATCTCTGAAGTTCTGAGGTAAGAAGTCACACGAATTTGTGCGTTGTGTGTGGAGTTGACAGGAGGTAGCGCAGTCACCGTTTTCTTCAGGGTTTGAGGATCATCTTTTCTCTTTTTTTTCTCATTAGGTTTTTCCATGACGGACTTGTGCACGCTCTCATTTTGCACGCTGCCATTGTGAGAACCAGTTTTGTCTTTCAACGGCGGCCAGAGCGGCGGACTAACATAACTCCTCTTTCCTGTTGTGTGCCCCTTTACTCCTATATTGACAAGCTTGGTGGTTTTTCCGTTCTGATATAAAAACACTCCCGGGAAAACTTCTCTTGGATGCCGCGATGCCTTCTCACGCTCTTCTCTCCTCTCCCGGCGTTCCCGTTCTCGCTCTTTCGCCGGCCGCGGTCTCGTTATGTAAATTTTATCCTCTTCCTTCTTTTTGTTGTTGGTGTGTGCAGAGTTGGTGAGGATCTGCTTGGCGCGGCTTGCGAGGACCGAAAGGTGGGATTTCTGGGGAAAGATTAGGGGGTTTTTGTTCAGTTTTGACGGCGATTCGGCTTCTTTCTCTCCCTCCACTGGTTCTTCGGGACCAGTTCTGATCCACGACAGGGAACGCCCTCGCACCACGCTGTATGCGTCCGCCTGGAAAACGCCGTGTTGAATCTCAGAAGGCACTTTACCCATATTTGCCTGCATCCACTCCCGGTCCCTGTCTAAAAAATGCCGTCTTCCCCTGCGTTTTATAAGTCTGTTCAGTGCTTCTTCGTCGTCCTCCTCTTCCTCTGGATATCTGGCAGCGGGGGTGGGAGAAGGGGCTTTCGGGTGGCGGTGGTTTTCCGGGTTGGACGTGTGGCTGGTCTGGCTGGGCTTTTTGGGTGGAGGAGTACCGACAATCTCAGCTTCGTCCTCTGTGTCTACAACCTCTTCTTCCTCAAGGAAATCTGGGAAAGAAAGCACAGATAATACTATGCTTTAGAAAAATGAATGCTTTAATTAAGTGGGTGTTATCTAAATTTAGCATATTTTTACTCTTTATTAAAAGACTTACCAAGGACAAACAGTTAAGTCCTATTTCAATATTGCAAATGCAGTTGCAATTTCTTCCTCGTTCCAAAGGAGAATTTGAGATTATGTTTTAAAACAAGAAATTATTGCTTGTGCCAATGGAAAATCTTGGTTAAGGACCAGATATCTTTGTCCTAATTCAACTATTTGACACTTTTTGCAGTGCATATACATATATACATTATTTTCAACAATATTCTTTCTGTATATTTCTTCTGTAGATGTATGATGATGACAGAACTCAGTAGTGTCAGACATTTTTACCCAAATGAAAACAAATCATGCTACTGTAATCTGCATATTTGAACGGCAGAAAACAGATTTGAGTTCAGAAAACTCGGCACACTTGAAAAACAAATGAAAGATGCTACATTGCAAGAAGTCTTAAAAAATAAATCAAAAATGTCTCAAATTTGGCAAAATTAATTTGAGCACATTTTGACTGCCTTAAAACAAGATTTTCCAACGGTACAACCAAAATCATCTTGGAGTGTGTAACTAAAGCAACTTAAGACTAAACAGCGTGTCTCATTGGCAAATCTTGTTTTAAGACAGTCAGAATGTTCTCAAATTAGGATAAAAGCCACTCGATTACAACAATTTAAAACTCATATTTAATGATTTATCTTTTGTGATGTATTTTATGTCAGATGTTATTGCTTGGCCAATGTGAAATTGCTTTGCCTAATAAAACTGTCCCTGCAGTATCAGCTCAGTCCAGATTATGCAGCCTTTTATAGTTTAGAAGCAACTTGTAAGCAAAACCCACAAAATGTACCAATCAGTAAGTGAAAAGGACCATAGACTGAGTGAAGTAGACGTTCTTTGCAAATAGGAAGTAAGCAGTGATGTGATTTGTCTGGTGCCGGCCCCAATTTATATTCATTAATAAATTCTTGTGGCCATACGTCATACCATACTGCTGATGTCACACTCGTTCTGGGTTTAAAATGTTTTGAAACGTAACAAGGACACTACATGTCGACAGTCTATGGCTTGTATATTTTCTCATAGAAATGGTTAAGTGGCAACATTATTCCGCTCACAGTAAAAATGCAAGCTTTTCAAGGTCTTTTTAGAGATTCCCGTGATCCAATAAAAGCAAGAGAGTCTATAGATATGTTTAAATACACCCCGAGGATCATCTCCATGCAGAAAAGTGCTTCCCTATCATCTCAAAATGAAAAATATTTGTAATTATGAAATCACTTGTTGACAATAAAGATTCATGAAGCGAGCAGGAGGGGAAATATGCTGTATATGCATGTCAGTGGCTGTATCTTGGTGTATTATTAGTTACCATCTGGGTTGGGGAAAAAGAACGACCTGTCATCCTCCTCCTCATCCATCTTCATGTATTTGTAGAAGCCAAACCTGGAGGACAAAACAAGGCGCTCAAACCCCCAGCCAAACGCATTAACAGAATGAGCCCATGCAACACACGGACAGAGAAATGTTCACCTCTCCAAGTAGATGGGGGATTCTCGGTAGAAGCATTTGTTCTCTCTCTCCATGTGCGTCAGTCTGGTGAAGTCATTGGGGTAAACGAAAGACAGATAGACCTGAGGAAATAACAAAACATGCAATAAAGCTGGGGTCCATAACGTTTTAGACAAAAAGCACATTTTGACTACTTTATAATGGGATTTGCCAATGGGACAAAGCAAAATGATCTTGTTTCAAAAAGAGACAGAAATGTCTCACTTAGAATGAGAAAATAGCAGCCGATAGATATTCTTGAATTAAGACTATGGCCTTATCCCATTGGCAAATCTTGTTTTAAGTCAGAATGTACTCAATTTCAGATAAAAACCTCTTGATTCAAGCAATTAATACCTCATATTTTATCATTTTATCCAGTGTAGTTTCATAAATAATACATGTTGTTTGTCCAAGCAGAAGGAGTCTTGTAAATGTACTATGTTGTAAACAAATCTGACCAAAATATTCTGTCTTTGTCCTATCAGAAAACATTGTGCGTCCAAATAAGCCCTGTTAGTCCCTGTTAGTCCCTATTTGGCATTTTGGGATGAGAGCCGATTGGCTGATTGGCTCTTTCTCACTCTTCTGTCTAAAAAAGCTGATATTCGTGGCCAAAAATTCCATACATGCAAATACCAGTGATAGAACCAAACTGTTTTGAGAGCAAAGGATTCAATGAGATGGATTGCATTACAGAGTTCCATGTTTTGTGGTTTCAAAGTTTGGTAACCCAGCTTTAACAGAGGAACAAAATACATAGAGCTATATATTTTACAACAATAATCTCATTTTCTATTGTAGAGTTAAGACGCAGTACTCAGCCTGTCCTGATGAGGGCGGTAGCACACAACACTTTTGATACAGGGGTCAAAGTAATCTATTCACATCTATAAAAGGATTAAGGGAATGTGTATTTAGTTCATACATATAATCTACTTGAATTGGTATTATTAAATGCATGCTACTGTATCATAACAATTCTAATACTCTTTTCTGCCACTGTTTTACGTAAAATCCAATCACAATGGGCCTCATTCACGAATAACTTCGTAAGAAACTACTCAACTTTCTTCTCAAGTTGTCCTTAAGTAGATTTCTAAGAAGTCCCCACGTGGGATTCATCAACGCACTCGTAAGCCGCTGAATTGTTCGCAGCTGTTCTCTCAGATTGATGAATCCCATTTCCTCGTAAGTACAGCGCGCGTGCCAGGTGCTTCATTACCATAGGTACTTAGCATAAGTAACCGCCCATTAATGCCCATATAAGGGACTGCAGGGCCGTGTGCAGACGGCAGAGGAAACAGCAACAGGCCTAAAGCAGGCTTTTGCCAGACTGAGAATAAAGTTATAAAATGTTGACTTAAAAGTCGAAATATTATGATAATAAAGTCGAACTAGCAAAATTATGAGATTAATCTAAGAATATGATGAGATTAATCTCAAAATGTTATGAGCTTAATTTAAAAATATATTATGTATTATTTTAAAGATGAATCTCAAAATGTTTTGAGATTAATCTCAAAATATTTTGGACCCTGGGAGGAGATCCAGCGCGGACCAGCGCTGAGACCAATGCAGACCCGAGGAGAGACTGGAGTGACCAGCACACAGAAACCAGCGCGGACCTATAGGAGAGACCGCATAGACTGGAGTGACCTGACTGGAGAGACCGGTGCGCAGAGACCAGCGCGGACCGAAGAGAGACCGCATAGACCAGACTTGAGAGACCAGCGCGGACCCGTATGGATCCAGGAGCATGCAGCACGGACCCGTATGGAGAGAGACCAGTGCAGACCCGTATAGATCCATGGGAGACACCAGCGCAGACCCGTATAGATCCATGGGAGAGACCAGTGCAGACCCGTATAGATCCATAGGAGAGACCTGCGCAGAGACTCAGCGCGGACCCAGTAACCTCCTGCAGCAGCAGTATATATGCCGTTGTTCTGTGGCCCGTGGATAAAGAAATGCCCCCTATAAATAGGAAGGGGTCACTAATACACGGCAAGATTTCCAATGTATTTGATAAAGCGTTGGCACATTTCATTTCAAAATGAATTAAAAAGTAGGCCAGATCTGCAGTGAAAAAGGCGGTATATAAATAAAGATTACTACAAATAAATAAATACATACATCGATATGACGGACATATCACTGGAATGTTGTATTTTTATTCAACTTCACCAAAGAGGACAACCCCGGCGTGTGAACATGTCGGCACTGAATGCATACGAGTGCTCCTGAGGACTCGTAGGATTTGTACTTGCCCAAGACAAATTCTGGTTACGAGAAATATTCGTGAATGCCACTTTCTTCGTAAAAACCGCGTAAGTAGGATTTACGTACAAATCTGTTCCTAAGAACCGTTCGTGAATGAGGCCCATCGTTACATTCGTGTTTCTCTGACAGCAAAGATTGGATTACATTTTAGGATTTGCTCAATCTAGAATATTTAGATGGATTTAAGCATGACAACAAACTGAGATTAAAAAGAAACCAAACTACTGACAGACATTATGAAACGTTATTAAACTTTTATTTTACAAGTATGTGTGCAGAATACTAAAACTGCTCTTACTGGTTTCTTGCTCATGGAAACTGACTTAATTGCATTTACAAAAATAGAGTAGAAAAATTCAGTTCACTTGCAACGAGTATTGAATCTGGTAAAACTTTAGAATCATCACATTGAACTTTGTAAAACTGGACACGTTACCACTGGTTGTGGTTTTGCCAAGAGGAGGCACCATTTGAGAGGTATTGTTTACATGACAGCACAGGGTCAAATGGTGGTTAATGTGTATTTTAATTAGTATGTATAAGCAGCTGAGATCAATTTTACTATACACATTGTAAAATTCATACACTTCATAAAACATACTTAGGCTACTATAAAACCCCCATTATATTATCAAAGCTTGTAGCGTGCTGTTTAAATCAATGCACACGCTAACAAAGTGCAATGTGAAGATGGCTGTGATCACCGACCATAAATTTGCGGTCCCCTATTCAACGCAATTACACACTGACTTTGCACTGGGGAGATGCCTATTTAGTGCAGCTCTGACTCAATTTGACGTCTGAGAGTTCAGGTTCAGCTCCTCCTTGTACCTGCTCCTGTGAAAAGGCCGCTAAGTGAACACCGAGAGGGGAAAAGGGAAGAGAAGATACTTACAAACTGCAGACCCTGGTAGCGGGCGATGGGGAAGTCTTTGACCACATATGTCGGGGAGTAGAGGCACGCAGGCAGCACGTTCTCCAGATGAGCCGGGTCGATCATAGGAACTAGAGCAAAGAAGAGTTCAATAATGCACATGCACAAGGGAAGGAAACCAATATATATAAAAATCACAGCTCTTTCACACCAAAAGAGCTCTTAAATCCAAATACTTCCACAACCGTTTCTCTATAATTTTTCTGTGTGTTTTCTGTTTTGAGAGAGGGGATGGAGACAAATAAGAGTTGCTTTGTCCAACCCCTTTTCAACCCATTTCTGTATCTGTATATAAGTCCAGGTTGAAAACAGTTTATTTAGCTGTGCAGGCAATGTTTATCGTACCGGTAATGATTGATTTAAATTATTGAAAAAGTTGAGACAAATGCAAAACCGGTCAAAAAGAAACAGCAACTTGTAGTTATCATTCTTGTCATTCATTTTCTTCTAGACAAGCACATACAGCAACAATGGCTGGTGAAAATACATTATATAACATGTATACCTATATATATAAAATAACAAAAAAATCACCTGCCTAAAATACACCATTCAAACACCACCCATCAAGATATTTGACGTGAAACATATCAGTTTCTAGATTCAACAGGGGGCACGAGGAAGTGGGTGAATCGGAACAGCGCCAGTCAAGCAAAATGATGGACTTAATATAGCAAAACTGACAGCAGCATAAGACGTTAAGCCCGACGAGCGGCCGAAACCAGTCAATCAGCCGGTTTGGCGCGGCGGGGAAAAGGGGGATGAACATTTAGAGAGGTTGGAATGATGAGTGTCAGACTTACTGCTGTAGAAGGTGTCTCTGGGGTCTGGCTTCAGCATGTCGGCCCCATGTGGAGGCCCTGCAGACTGCCCTGGGAGGCGGATGTGACTGGCCAATGTCTGGGGAATGTGCTCCACACTATTCATCTTAAAACTGGACTCATCTGAAACGTATAAAACAGAGAGTCAGAGAACTGGAAAGATTACTTCAATACAGATGTTAGCTTATGGATGAAAGTGATATCTCAGTCAGTTCAACGAGAATTTGAGTGTTGTTTTTTTTTTTTATAATGCTGTTGAGCCAAGAGTGTTTAAATCAAACTAATTATGATAGATGATAACATTACAGTAGTTTTGATTTCTGGTGTGCTCAATATGTTGATCGCAATCTAGGGGATCTGGATTGCGAGAGGAGCACACACCTCTGCCACTAACAATGTCCTCTATAAAATTAAAATCAAATAAAAGAAAGATTATGCAAACTCACACAAGCACATGTTTTAATTAATAATGTAAGATACAAAAGGAGAATTAAGTTAATTGAAAGGCTAAACGTCTGTATGGTGACTGATAAATGTATACATCTGCATCATGAATACAGCAGCAGAAGATCTTGATTGGTGTGAGCACCCCTGCATTAAATATTAAAGTTCTGTATACTCAACTACTGTGATTATTATTCAGACAGAAGCAGTAAGTTACAGAACAGAACTGCTTACTCTGTAACAGCTTAGCTATACTGTTAGATCTATAGTAATTGTATTTATTTTGGCCATAATTTAAAAAGAAAGTGTTTAGGGACTGGATTAACTTGGGAGATATTGTAGAAATGGCATTGGATAATTTCAAGTTGGTTGTGATATTTTTCCATATAGCCATACCATTCTCCTTGTAGCCAGGACAGACTTCCTGAGTACATGGATATCGCATTTGAATCTGACAACCCGACGAGCTGATGAAAGGGGAAGGTGCAATAAACTAGGACAACGGCAGAAGTTGTGATAAAACCAAGAACACCTGAAGTAGTGCGAGTTATAATTAGACTAATCAATAGAAAAAGGAGAACAGGGAGCTCTGTGATTAATGGGATGTCCGAGCTGTGGCCTGATGTGGAGATGGGTGAAAAGGAACAGGGTGGTCAGCATCAGCTCCTCGGGGGAAGTATGCTGCTGCTTGTGCATTCTGCTGGACCTGTGATCGTGACTCATGGCAACAAAAGCAATCCATCCAAAAAATGTCTCTCTATTCAATAAAACAACAATAGTTTATTCAGGCCAGACCTTGAATTGATGAGGTCTGGATCCAACATCAAATACAAATATTTGGAGTTAAAGGTAAAGGCCTGTACCTGACTTTGACTCCCTTAATTACAATCAAACATACTATAATTAGATCATTTGAAATAGTTTTCAGCACTCCAAGATTTATTCCTCGCATTCGAAAGATCACGCTCTAAATGTGATAAATAACTATTAACCACACCCAAAAGTGGTCCACAACAAATGTGCACTGAGACAACACTATCTGTCATATGGAAAAACTGAATTGCTTGAAAATTTGCTTGCGTCTTGTTTGTTGTTTAAAATATATAAATACTGTACACTGCTCTCTTATACAATTGTGTAACAATAAAGGCCTGAAGTCCACAATGATTGCAAATGAATTCTAAACCCAGGTAGACATTCTAGATTAACATAATATTAACATATATTGGAGCAGAGGGCACATTCTTCAGCCTACTCTTCAGGCTGTAACATTCAAGACTGTAAGAAGTATCTGAAAGAATATTCTCTAATATGATTGATAAGTTCTATTGAATTAGCTACAGCCTTAACAACTCACAATATGCAGCTTAATTTGGGAACTAAATGACCATTAATTGTCCATTTCAAATACATGGGCCGAGGGCAAATGTTTCTGTCGGGGTTCCCCAGGGCAGCTGTGGCTATTCAAATTCAATAACATTTATTTTATGTTTGTATAGACTACATCACACTAGCAGTTGTCTCTGAGGACTTTACAAAGTTGTCGATTCACCAACAAGACCGGAGAATCAAACACCGGAGAATTCACCACCAAGACCGGAGAATCAAACACCGGAGAATTCACCATCAAGACCGGAGAATCAAACACCGGAGAATTCACCACCAAGACCGGAGAATCAAACACCGGAGAATTCGCCATCAAGACCGGAGATTCAAACGCCGGAGAGTTCGCCATCAAGACCGGAGAATCAAACACCGGAGAATTCACCATCAAGACCGGAGAATCAAACACAGGAAAGACAAGAATAACAAACGCATAGGAGCCATTGGTCCATAGGGAGAGAATGACAAATGTCCATTAATGTAAAAAAAATTCCATGAATGTTGTTAAACGTACCGGATCATCACCACTGTCTTTAGACCCTCCTGGCAACAGTAGTAGTTTACACCTCAGTGTAAGGAGTGTGTTACGGCCCACGGCCCGTAATTCCCTATTTTGGGGATCACTTTAGTTTCTCCCGTGGTGTCTGTGTGGTTGTGTTTCCTCCCTTTTCAGAAGATCACGCTCGTGAGTCCTGGGCTCCTATTGGCCGGTCATTCCCCACCTGGAGCTGATTGACTGCGATGCCTGGGTGCTGATTGGGCAGCAGCTGAGGCAGGCCTCCAATCAGCGTGCGCTCACCTGGAGGACCCGCCCTTATAAACTGCCAATCTACCGCGGCTCGGGGCAGCTGGAGTCAGTGGACTCCAGTTCGCCATTAGTTTTGGCTGTGTTCTGTCACTTGTGCCGGTACCTTAGTTCAGTGACTCGTTTAGTTTATGTTGAGACACTTTAGTTTAGGTTACACTTTTGGTTTTGTCAACTGCTTACTTGTTTTAATAGGTTATTTATTTACTGTGTGTTATGTAGATATTAATCCTATTTTGTTTTACCTACTTTGTCACCTGAATAAATTATGATTTTAGTTACCATTCTACCATCTTGGTTATTTTGTTACTTCCTCACACCTAGCTGAGCCGGGTCGTAACAGAGTGAATGAATTATACAATGTGAAGCGTCCAAAAAAGAGCAATAAAAAATGTCTTTATTTTTATTATTAAAACTCTGTATGGGGAGTGTGCATCCATTAAAAGGGACATCAAACTCAACCCAGAAACATCACTTGGCCGACATCTGTACCACACTTTGAAAATAAAAACGTCACAAGTGATGGAAGACTTTATTCTTTCCTTCCAACGGCTCCTTCCGAGCTGCATGTGAACTTTCTCTGCCTTTGAACAAAGCCTAAAACAGCAGTTGTATCTTAAAACTCAAAAGGAAGGAAGTAGTGAATAATTTCCGCGGTCTTGCTGATAAAACAACATCAAACAAGTGATTGTACTTGTGTCTTGTGCTGTTACATATTATGCAGTCATTTGTTGTTCATATTGAAATACTTCCTCTCCAGGCCAAAAGAAAGTTATTACAAATTCATCAGGTGGAACTCGGGTGCTTTTTATTTATGATTCCGGCTGTGTAATAAACATCCAATATCACACGATGCATTTGACTTCAAACCATGACAAATGGTGCTGCGGTAAGCTTCTATGAAAACGACACCATTATGTAAATTTTCCAGCGCTTGCCTTTTCAATGTTGCACCAGTGATTTTCTATTGTTCCGGTTTATTAAGTAATGCACAAATATAACTGCTCTGGAAGATGGGAGTCACTCGTGGGAAAGAGCATAATTAAAGTCCATAATTCAGGCTTTTAAAACGGCCTATTTTAGAACAAAGAAAATCCATTTACACAACGGGACACTCGGAATAAATTGTAGATAAGATGTGTTTCACCTCAACTATTTTCTGAGTATAGCTGAGTAACTATTTGATTATTTGAAGCATGGTATAATGGGAACTTAAGGATAAAGGAAAAATTCAGCCAAGTCTATTAGAGCAGCAAGTGACTGAACCAAAACTTGGTCGACTAAAGACGCTGCCGATCGATGAGATGATTAGGCAAGGCATAGCAATTCAATTTCCCTTTGTATCTGCCTTCAAATCCACTCAGGACCAAGACGTTCATGCAAAAACAGCTATTTATGAAAAATAATTAAGAAATTAATGGCAGGTTAACTTTAATTCACTTCCAACTCCTCCGCTAAACTCAATCCCTTCTCTTTGCTGCCGTTGACTCGTATACTTTCCTTTGTTCCAAATCAAACAATGAGTCACCAGTGCATATTTTGATCAAGCAGCAAAAGAATAAAGTGCTGATACCTACACTCTCACTGGTCCCTAAGCAAAATGGGGAACATTTGAAAAAAACGTCAACATCTACAATATGAAAACTCAAAATCTCCAATATTAAATCATTTCCTTGCTAACCAAACTACTCACTTCTACTTTACTATCTAAAATGTGAGACAGACTTCTTCTCTGACAATGTTTAAATCCAGGTTAAAAACAGTTCTATTAAGCTGTGCAGACAACTGAGGGATTTTATCATCACTCTTTTTAATGTACTGCGATTATTTATGAACTGAATGCAGTACAAATAACCTCACCTTGCCTTGCCTTCTTCCTAACTTCACCACAGATGCATCACACAATATTACCGAAATTTTCCTTGGTCTCTTTCAGTCCGACAGACCGACAAACCAACAGAAAAATCGCACATCAGGACAGTTAAAAGGCAACGAAACATCAACATGACCTTTCTGTGGTTTAGCCGTCTTAATAACATGGAAAACAGGTCTAATTATGACATTTGAAATCCTTTAAATGGCGACGGGTGGAGAAGCTGCTGTTGCTTTTCCCCAATGACCTCATCCACGGCTGAGCACAAGGCGTCCTTTTTCTGACCGCAAACGAAAGGGCAGCAGGCAGCTCTCATCCGTAGCAACCCACACACTCCAGAAGAATGACAACTATATACATCTTATTCTTGCACTAGGCGTCTGTGCTTGTTAGGCACACGCTGAATACCTGTGAGCTGCTGCTGCTATTCTTAGTTCCCTAGTTAAGACAACAACTCGGGGAAAGCTGTGAGTCAGATGGAGAAGTATCACATCGATCGACTTTGACTGTCGCGCACGGATGAAGCGACAAGAGCAATATCTGGGTGTGGAGACGGAAGCTCGGGCAAGGTCATGGCACAGATAGAGAAATCACACCAGAGCCAGTTTTTTTTTGTTTTTTTTACAGATATGAGAAAAAGGAGGGCACAGACAGATTTACATGATAATATTTCAATTTCCTATGCTATTATTAAGGTTGTCTATCTATTCATTTATCTTTCTAACCATGCTTTTCCATCCTTTGTAATCGTGGGTTAGTGACTATCTAGAAATTAGTCAACTTTGACATTTTTGTACCGTTTTTTTAAACTAATGAAGAATGAAAAATGACAACTGCAGGCTACTAGATGTAGAAAATCTGCAGATATTGTGCGTTATTCACGGAAATCTAATGTTTCCATTTTCATATTCTGATAATAATTCCATTGTATATGATAAGAAGACGTAAGTATGTGTTTTTAAGTGTATAGTGTATAGCCTTCCAATTGGTATTTCTAGATTTTCATTGTATTTTACCATTCAAACATGAGAAAGTAAAATATTTCATTTTGACAACCACATTACTTTCCACATTTGTAGTCAAGTTCCTGGTTTGGACTGGTACATGTGCAACTGTGAAGGCAACCTCTGAACTCCGCAGAAAGTCATTTTTGTAATAAAACACTGTGTCCCTGGGATGCACAGTAGCAGAGAGGTCTGGTAGTTTCAGAGCATTTGGTCCCAGTCCCAGACGAGCTCCTTTGGCCTTTTCTTTTGTGGGATTCAGCATGTGGCTTTCTCAGACGTCCTCCCACTAAACAACTATTTATATCTATCACGTCTTGGGCTGGGCACTGTCTAAGTGCTACTAGACCAAAACGGGAAAGGGTTGGGATGTGGCCTCATATATGGTGAAAACAGTACAGTGTTTAATGGAATTGATCTCATTCTAAACAATGATACTCACTAGAAAAGTAGCCAAGTAGTTTTAGTCAAAAGTGAAAAGTTCAGAGCCCAAATAATGTCTTTTCCTTAAATGCTTGGCTAAAGTTGCCATCAAAACACAAGGTAATTACTATTGAAATTGATACAAAAAGTAACCCTAACCCTAACACAATATGTGGTCTTTGACAGAAAATCCCTATCATACCAATATGCAATTTTTAAAAAGCACAATCTTTCAAGCTTTGATAAGTTGATTACCTTTAAATATGTAAAATACTGAAAAATCAAGTTAATGAAAATAAATCTACACATATTTCTTTTATAGAATAATTGGAACCCCAATGTTTGTTTATACTTTACTATCTTATACTTTTAGATACTTATTAAACATGTTCCAAACGCCTTTCTCTGCAACACAAAATACTTTTATATATTTCCAAGTCTGCATTACCTGTATATAAGGAGATGTAGGCAGAGTCGATCACCTCGTACTTCAGACCAGGGAGAAATGGCCGCCACTGCAAAGGGACACAGAGAAAAAGAGTGTGAAACAAGCTACAATTCTTTTAAATAGATTTCACAATTACCACGTCACTTCTGATTAACTAAGATATAATACATGGAGACAGGTCATTTTCCAACCTCTTGAGTTTTGCATATAAATACAAACAGCTACTCAGGCTCATGCAAATGCCACTGCACGCACTGGTGAAATCACTGTCACGGCTTTGGGGTTTTTACATCACCATCATTATTTTGCAGTCTGAATTTTATGGCTGCCAACCAGTAAAATAGTAGCATATTGCGCATAAGCTGTCTCATTTGCACACAAGGGCATGTTCTATATAGGCTACGACAAATAAGGACGCCACACAAAACATCCAACCGCGAGCCCAGCGGGAGAGGCTCAGCGGGCTCGATGTGATGCCATTTTCCGGAGGTTTTCAAGGTTGATTTTGACGGCATCCATGAAGTCAAATAGGACAAAAAGTGGCAACAAAAGGAAGTTCTTGCATTGTGTGTTAACAGAAAACAAAATTGTTGTCTCATGTGTGGTAAGCCAATGAAAGAAATCAGAAAATTACAATTCAACTTTACTTAAAGTGAAACATATCCAATTGTCTGTTGTTACAGCTGCTTTTGTTGTTTAGATGTTCACGTTTCAATCTCGATTTGAATGAATGCACTTGATATTTGACCAATATTAAACCACAGTAACAATAGCACGGAATTAAAGGGACCATATGCAATATGAACTCTTAGTGGTCTATAAAGTCATCCAAATACAATATGATTTGTGTTACCAGAATTGTCCGTCTGTGACACATGTAGTGGCTGTTGATAATGTTTCAATCTCTGTGTATTATATGTGACTACTTATTTTTTGTGAACGCTTTCATTTAGACATACGTAGTGCTATTTTTTTATTAGTGAATGTAGTTACACATAAAATATCTATATTCACCTAACAAACTGGCAACCCAAATGAGGACCTGATTCTTCTTTCTAATTGGATAATCTGGTTGAAAATGGTAACATACATAAACATACATAAATATTATGGGTATCATGTCCATTCTACTTTTAATTAGGAATTGACCTGTTATCTGTGGACATATAAAAGAATTTGAAATGAAAAATTACCAACTTTAAATTCTACAAGAAGTCTCTCTTTCAACCAATAATTCTAGCTTTTTTATAGCATTGATACCTTAAATGAAGGATCTAATCATTAGTATAGATTCATTATTTTAATTATATATTGTTTGTTGTACATGATGAAACTGAAACAAAACTAGGAAAGCTGTGATTTAAAGCAGTGAATAGATTGACGTTCTTACTTTCCATTTCCTCATGAGAAGCGCTGGCCTGAAGTGCTCTGCTGTACGTACATGCGTGTTGTATTTGTCATGCAGGTGTGAACAAGAGTGTGCATGCGGTGTGGAAACAGGAGGAATTCTGTGCTCGTCTTTGACAGCAGCGTTCTCTCCACACATGACACTACATGGATATGAAAGAAAAGAGTATTGATCGCTGTGGCAAATAGACTGCAGCATGACAATATATAATAGTACACTACAAAACATTTTCAAATTTGGCAAAATGTATATTAATTTGAGCATATTTTGACTGTCTTAAAACAAGATTTGCCAATGGCACCAGCTAATTTATCTTGTTTTAAAAAGATACAAGAAATGTTTTCCTTGAAAAGAGAAAATAGTTCTTGACATAAAACTATATGGCTTTGTCTCATTGGCAAGTCTTGTTTTAAGTCAGTCAGAATGTACTCAAATAAAGATAAAAACCACTCGATTCAAACTATTATTCTTGTCATTTTTTGCAGTGTATTTCATAGTTTGAGAGGCTGACTACAACGGTCCCAAAAGGCTAAAATTCAACATCCTCAAAATGGACTCATGTGTCATTATGACGACACTGCCGGTCATGATACAAAATCACTGACATTTTCAGTAATAGTTGTGACATAAACGCTGAATTCATGATCAAAGAAATGCAGCAGTAATCTGAGTACTCTGGATGATTTCAAGGAAGATACATGTGTGTTCCCCAAACTGACTCAAATCAACTTTTTGATTTTGCAAACAAATCCAAAACTATGAAGTGTTGTTTGTAGCACATTTTATCCACATAGAGAATTTATAAATATACAGAACAAAAAAAGTGATTGAGTAAACAGTAATAAATGTATAGTTGCTGAGTCCATGCCAAAATATTGTCACAAACTACAATAATTTCAATCAGCTTCAATGTATATTTATGTGATATCCGTGGATCCACAACTTGATTGGTTATTTCAGAATGAATGACTATGGAATTCCTTCATTCATAAATATTTAAAATGAAGTCACAATGTGCTTCAACGGTAACCTAACAGCTGAATCATCAAACATAACATGATGAATGCTAAAATACTCCATAAATGCTGAAATGTGGAACTGAAACTTGTCATAGAGAACATTTGTAGTAAAGCACAGTAAGAGCACCTAAAAAAAAGACGTAGCAGATATAGTGTTTCCCAAAAATGCTTTCTAACATTTATAGAATTTCATTGGAGGTTGCGTTATTTCGTTTCTCAGTTCTCTATTTCAGAGGGAGAGCTCGATGCAGTGCTGTTTGTTTACTACAATTCAATTGACCAAAGCCACAGGCACTAGGAAACAAGTGACTATGAGTATTTCATTACCACCGGTGTGTCACGCTCAGGAGGTAATGAAATAAAATATACCTGACCTTTCACATTTCAAGTTTAAATTTATTTAGTTGCGAGGCCTGATAAGATTAACTGGCACCAAGCACTTCAGTGTATTAATCATAAAAGCTCCCGTATGGGGCCAGGATGTCATTGCAATACATGGATTATAACAAACAGAGTAACCTTTTGGGACACTTTTTAATTTTAATTAAATGTTTTTAAATGGCATATCAATTTTTTTTTTTAAGTTCTTAAACATTGCCAAAGATTAATAATCTATTGGTTTTATATAGCGCGTTTCAGGACAATCAAAGACACTTTACATGTTATTATTCTTTCACTCCATACAAGGTGATGGTAAAAGACTACTGTAGCCACAGCTGCCCTGGGGCACACTGAAAGAAGCGAAGTGACCAGTATGTGCCATCGGCCCCTCCGACCACCCCCAGCCATTCACACACACACCAGACTCATTCTAGGCAATGTGGGTGAAGTGTCTTGCCTAAGGACACAACTACAGTTTGGCCTTTTACAGCCGCAGCCGCCCCACTGAGGCACCTGATGTTCCCAGAGGTCTCCCATCACAGTACTAACCAGACACTATCCTGCACAGCTTCAAAGGTCTGATGGGATTTGGCTTTCAAATACAGGTGAACTACATGCGAAATATATGGTATTAGAAAAGTTCTCAAATGTTCTTTAAATAAATACACCAATCCACGAAATTATCAAAATATCAAATATTTAATGTCTGGTTTTAAAACTGTGAAAAATAAGAACATAACAAGCACTAAACTGAAAGAATAATGTCACCTTTCACACTTTTAGAACAGCTTTTTATAGACAGAAAACAGCCCACAGCCAAAAGCCTCAAACAGCGACGAGCATGGCTTTTCCTGATGAAAATGTTTTCTCATTTGCTTAAAACAATTCCGCCACACCTGCTTTTTTACATTTACAAAACACTGTCTGGGAAAGTGTTGGCTCATTTCTAAGTTTAGGGCACTAGCTTTAAGTATGATGAAAGTCCTATAGTGCACAGAGCCTTAATGAGGTTCCCACGATTGCATTCACTGAAAATATACAGCTCTCTTTGCCTCAATCTAATTCATTCAGCGTGTGATTGGAAGTCATCCACTGAAAACAACAATTTCCTTTGACCCGAGTTTGTATTTCAGCTGCCAGACAACTATCCACACTTTCTATGCTTTGGCCAAGAGTGACATGTAACAACACGCTAATTATTGCACTGCAGAGACGAAGCCAAATTAGCAAAGAGAGGCCGCTTACGTGCTAATACAAGAAATCAATAACATTCTTTGAAAAATGACACTGTTTATCTCCGAGCGCTGCTTTTCCCACGTCAGAAAATGTTACAATGCTGATTCAGGACTAACTAATAAGAACAGACAGTAGAATATGATTTTTGTTATAAGTTTGGGATGACTTTGATATCTCCTTATGCTGTTTTGAACTGACAGGCAGTTTGTCAGCCATATGAAGTGTGGTGGAGAGATCGCAGAGGCAGGCTGCTGACAGAGCTCCGCATGCGCCTGCTTTCATAACGCACTTAAAACGACTTTGAACCACTCTAGTGTTCTCAGATACGCGTGCGTTCAAAGCCGTGTTTGGGCAAAAACAAAATTAAAACAACTGTCGAAGTAAATTAAACTGCTCGCAGAGGAAACGGCACCACATGTTCTTCTAGTGCCTCTTGGTGCTCTGTTCACATTATGATTTCACAATTAGGAAGCCATTAAGCACAAACACGAAAACAAAGGCAATAAAACAGTCCATTTGTTGCTCAATATTTCACTATGCAAGAGATAAAAACAAATGACTAGAAAACAATGAAAGAAAATGAAGGCGTCAGATGAGACAATAATTGCTCTTGTGCAGATTTCCGGTGTGTCCAAGCGTGATGCGGCAGTGTGGGGTTGGCAGTAACGAGTGGGCTCTTGTATGTTGCTAAGGAGCTGTCAGCTGCAGTCCCAGGCAGCTGAGCATCAATCTGTTCATACACAGCAACGCACACGACCACACACGCTATTTGTATTCATATTATATTTCCAAGACGATACAAATTAGGGTATAACTGGAATCCCCTAGAAAACGTTGGACGGCGACATAGCTATAACAATGTTGATGTATGAAGACTGCTGACCCTTCATGCATTTGTGCAATAATGTGCAACGTGTACAGTCGAATAACACCTTCATGCTGCAAACATTACATACAGTAGTATCATCATCATATTTAACTCTCAGAGCTAATCACTATTTTAACATTCTTGCTCTAGAGTTT